TAAACTGACATGCTGGAGGCAGAGGCCTCTTCTGCTGACTGATGTTACAGCATGGTCTGGTGCTTTGTATTTAATTAATTGACCCTCCCACCCCCAAGATTCTTACTGTTCTACCCCCAAACACTCACGTATATTAAATGCCTACACCTGGGCAGACAGAAGTGAGGTAGGAAGAACTAAGGTTGGGGGCTTGGAGGACAGAGGACCATGGAAGGAAAAAGGGAGGAGAGAGGACAGGAGAGGGGAAGAAAGGAAGACTGCTATGGGTTATCACAAAGAAGAACCACATGGCTGGGAGTTTACTCTGAGGATAAGTGTGAGTAGAGAGAAGAAGCCTAGATGGGAAGCATGTGGAAGTATTTATGGGATTATGGGTGGGAAGTAACCCAGATAGGAATGACTAGAGCATGACATGGGATGTGGGGCTGGAAGATAAAAACAGTTAGAGGTTAGTTTCTGGCCATCCCCAGAGTTTAAGGCATATTAAAACTCTTAACAGGTATCTGTGCCTTTTATTGATGATAGAGGGTTAGATAAAAACTGTTAATCCATGGATTAACAGTAAAAATTAATAACCAATTTTCTACAACTGACTACTAACAGTTGACTACTGTAGCAGCCAAGAGAACATGAAGACCCAGCTAACAGGAATGTTAGATGTTCCACCTCTGGGACAAATACCCAAGAAAACAACTCCAGGAAAATTAACTTTGTTTTCACAGGTGTCAGACCATCACTGTGGGAGAGCTGCTAACAGAGGAAGTTGGCACACCAGAATCTCTTCCTTTTTCTTCCATCTGCACCCCAGCCTATGGGACGGTGCTGCCCACATTCAGGGATACTGTACTCCGTATTTAATCACTCTGAAGGCACCTTCCGGGCCATTCATGTGAGCTACCATCACCACGCTCTTTTGACTTACTAATCTTCCTAGGCACTCATCCCAACCAAGATGACAATCATGATGAACCATCATGCCAAGGCTGGCTGGGCAAAGTCAGAAGTAGCCCACTATTAGAGGACAAATGGCTAAAGTGTCTAATCACATATTAAAGTGGGCACTGGCCACCCGGCTCTCAGCATCGCAAATACCTGTTAGTAGTCCTGGCTCCTTCTCAGCCCTTCTCATCTAAACCTCTCCAGCCCCTGACCTTTCCCCAGCTTCTGATTCCTATAAAACTTAGCTATTTCAGCCATGTGCTCCTTTGGTGTTCTCTTGGTTTTTCTTTCTTCTGGTACCCTCTTGCCCTCTGACTCTCTCTCTTCTCCCATGGCTCAGTCTATTGTGATAGCCATGTTCAATCGACTTTCTCTCTGTACTGACTCTTCCAGATACCTGACGGAATTCTGTCTCATAGCTATAATAAAAACCTTCTCAACCATACCTAAGAGTGGCCATCTTCATTTTCATTCACTCACATCCCTGAGCACACCAGTTAGCTATCTATCAGCCATGGCACCTCTGTGAGGTAGTAACTTCCCTTTGCACAGGGAATAAGATCCACTGAAGCACACAAGGAGAAAACAGGAATTACAATTGTTTCTAAAAGGGGAAAAAACAAAAACAAACAAACAAAATACCAATACATGGTAATTCCTAGGTAGAACACAGGTAATCAAGGAACAAGTGACAGCCTCACCTCTCTGGCCAGGACTGACACTGCTCCCTTCCAGAGTATCGGTCTGTGTATTAGTTTGATGCATATACTTTATCATCTTCAACAGAGCAAGCTGGCAACAGTTTAAAAACAAGATAAAAATTAAACAACGGGACTTGCTGGTTTTCTCTCATTGCACTACTCAAAACACTGCCAAACTGGGGCTGAAGCAATGGCTCAAGCATTAAGAACATCTGCTGCTCATCCAGAGGGTGTGGGTTTCACTCCCAGCATCCTCACAGTGGCTCCCAACTATCTGTAACTCCAGTTCCAGGGAATCCAACACCCTCTTCTGGCCTCCACAGGAATCAGGCACACATGTTCAAAGAACACATGCAGATAAAATATCCATACACATAAATAAAACTAACATATGTAGATATTATAGCATGTATATAATACAAACCTAAAAGACATTCTAAGTCATTTTTCTGCTTAAAAATAATTTTAAAAAGAATAGTTGATGATTCTGCCAGTCTTATCCCATGGTGAGAACTGTAAATAACATGCCATCTAGAAGGAATTTCCATAAAGTAAATAGGTAATAATTCTTAAGATTTTTTTTTTAAAGCAGAAACCTTAATTTTATTTTATTGTATCAGATTCAGGATTTCATAGTGTGCTAACATTCCTATTTTCATAGCATTTGTTTTCCTTGTTAATGTAACATTCATTCTGCCATGTTTTCTCCATTCACAAAGTTGTTTCCCATAAACATTTAAATAAATTTTTTTGCATCTTTCCTTTTTATTTATTGTTTTATTACAATTTATTCACTTTGTATCCCAGCTGTAGCCTCCTCCCTCTTCTCATCCTCTGCCTCTCTCCAAGTCCACTGATAGGGGAGGTCCTCCTCCCCTTCCATCTGACCCTAGCCTATCAGGTCTCATAAGAATTGGCTGCATTGTCTTCCTTTGTGGCCTGGTAAGGCTGCTCCCCCCTTGGAGGGAGGTGATCAAAGAGTTCATATGAGAGACAGCCCATTCCCCTTACCACAGCCACTTGGAGACTGGGCTGCCACGGGTTAAGCTTTCTTTCCTTTGAGGGGGGACTCTTTGTTTATTCTGGCAGAGGGAGACCTAAGGAATCTGGTCAGTTTTAGGTACTTCCTAAAGCTATTTTGAGTTGTTTACCTTTTTGTTGAAAGAGCTTCCCTGAAGGATGGAAAGTTTTAACCTCCCAGGAAACTTGTTACACAAACACCAGCTTGCTTTTGGACATGGCGTTTAATCATAGCAATAGCAGCCCTAAGACATAAAATTTATAAAGTATTTTGTGTATGTGTCCCATGAACACATGCAACAGTTCAAAGTTACTAGGGAAGAACTCTAGGTTCTTGTATTTTTGAGTCAATGCTCACCACTGCAATGCCAGGCTAACTGGCCCCCAAGCTTCCAGACATTCTCCTGTCTGCACCTCCCACTTTGCTGTAGGAATGGCACCACACAGATAGCCTTCATGGCTCCCTAGGATTCAAACTTTGGTCTCCACACATGCATAGCTAACTCAACTGGGTGATCTTCCCAGCTCCAAAGCATTTTCCAGTTGCATGGCTCTCACTTAAAGAACATTTTGGGGGCTCATTCTTTTAATCCCAGCACTCAGGAGGTAGAAACAGGCAAAGGCCAACCTGGGGTTACACAGAGAAATCCTGTGTCAAAAAAACAAAACAATAAAACAAAAAAATCCATATTTTTTTCTAGAGAACAGTTTTAAAAGATACAAATGCTACCCCATAATGGTTTAAAATATTTTTTCTGTCTTATGTGTACCAGTATATGAGTACATGTTTACATTTAAACAATCTGGGGCAGGAGAGATGGCTCAGCATTGAGTGCATAGTGGTGCTTTTGCAGAAGACATAGGTTTGGTTGCCAACACACATCAAATAACTCAAACCTCTAGCTCAGTGGCTCTCAGCCTTCCTCATGCTGCAATGCTTTCATATAGTTTTATGTTGTGCTGACCCCAACCGCAAACTTAATTTCCACTCCTACTTCATAACCGTAATTTTGCTACTGTTATGAGTCACAGTGTAAACATCAGCTATACAGAATATCTGGTATGCCACTCCTGTGAAGGGGTTGTTCAACTCCCAAAAGGGTCGAAACCCACAGGTTGAGAACTGATGCTCTAGTTCTGGGTTAGAGGTCCTTCCTCTTCTGGCCTCTGGATACACTGTATACACATGATACATAGAAGCTCATGCAGGCACACATACATGCGTCAGACACATACTGAACACTCCACAGATCACAAAGGCAGATGACAACATGTATACAGCATTTGTGTTCCATGGCTGTCTTAAAACACACTTCTCCATTCCTGAGGGTAGAGACTCATACTGTCTTTTTTTGTGCTATGCTTTTAAATTTAATTTAGTCCATCTGGGCTTTCTTTGATGAATGGCATGACGGGAATCAACTTAATTTTCTCAAACAGTTTTCAATGAATAATTCCTCATGGCCAGAATAACTCTTAAAAGGGAGTGTTAATGTATGCCTTCATTCTTATTTTTACTCATTTCCCATTAACCCATCTATGTTTACACCATTGTAACTGTTTTAAATTTAATCAAACTTCTGAAAGAAAAATGTGATGTTATCTTTTTGGTACAGCAAGTTCTTTCTATTTTTTCTTCTTTCAATGGGTATTTTCCTTTTTTCATCTGTTTACACTTTTATATGATGTTAAATTTTATTAAAAACATGTTTTTTTGGTCTTTGTACTGGCTTTGTATAAATTCACACATTAATCCAAAAGGACATGTCTATAACAATCAAATGTTCTTATTGTCAAATACTTCTAAGATTCTGGGTTCCCCCACCAAGAAAGTCATACACATTATACATGCCTAGAGCAAGCGTGTCACTTGCACTATGCTTGCCTAGAGCTCACTGTAGATGTGCACCATGTGTGCCAACAGCGCATGCACACACTCCACCTCCAGTACATCCGTGCACACACTACACACATCTCCAGTGCATGCGCACACTCTATACACGCCCACAGCATGTGTACACCACACTGTATCCATACAGCATGCAGACACTCCACCTACAGTACGTTCATACATACACACTACATGGAATACGAGTAGCACGTGTATAAATACAAACTACATATACCCACAGTACAAGTATATGCACACATTATAATGCCTACAGCACACGGAAACAGTTTTGTAGTTTCCTCAGTACCTCACTGATACAGAGGTTAAGGCTGACCGTATGCATTGTAGCTTCCATGGTACAGAGCACCCTGTAAATGGAACTGAATGCCTACGTTACAGCAGTGAACAGGTATCAGGGCCAGGGACATCTGCACAAAAGTTAAAACAAGTTTAATGACATCTGTACAAGATTTATTTTTCATTAACCACAATGTTATATAATAAGAATATACACCTGGTACAGAGGAGTGATTCAAAATCCACCAAATGTTTATGAGGAGAGAGCCCAGGCCAGCAGCTTTGTACTCCAGCTCAGGAAGCACTTCAGTCATGTTCTGTGAATGAGTAGGGGGCAAAAGACAGTGCCAGATTTGCCTTCAAATTGTCAGAAGACTAGACAGCAATGCTTCAGTCATTCTGCTATGCTGGTGGGTGGCAAAAGCTTTTTGCCTTTATATAAGCATTTGTTTAAGCCACAGTTTCCCAAGACTTGACATTTAAATAATTTCTCCAAAAATGCATGGCTGTAACATTGACAAATAAGACACAGAAGAATCAAGAGCATTGCCATACATTCATCCAAACACACCAGAGAACACCCATTCTTACTGAATTTAGTAGTCACAATATTTAAGCAACACATAAGAACCAATACAAAGTGTTACAATTATCACAACAGAAAAGGTCCTCTCCACTTCTTTCAGATGTCAGTTAAGGGTGACACATTCCAACCTTGAATTTTAACATCCCTTTAAGAGACCTATACTTAAAAGCAAACATAACATTCCAAGCTAAAAGCTAAAAAACACACCATTAAAAAAAACAAACAAACAAACAAACAAAAAAAAACCTCTAAACACTTTAACAGATGGACAGCTAATGCAGGGTTTTGTTTTGCTTTTTAGTTGTTTCTTATTATCTCCGATTAGTGTGTATTCACAGAATATTTAGTTTAATGATGGCTGCTTAATAAACAATTAAATTTTAGCTCAAGGGCAATTCCTCTTGCATATTAACCATGGAAATAACTACTGTGAGAGGGACAACAAGAGAGAAGAGAAGAAGAGAGAAGAGGAAGCTGCCCACAGCCTCAATAAGACAAAATCTGGAAGGTTTTTACTCCGGCTACTGAGAGAGTCTGAAGGGCATTTGAACACTATGTGCACCTCTTCCCATTACCTATAGCTGTTTGCAAGCTCGCCATGGCCTTTGCTAGTAGGTTTGAAAGCTCGTGTGCTGACAAGCTTTGATGCACACTGAGGTGAGGAGTCTGTGAACTGTCCCTGAGAAATCATCCACAGGACCTGACAGAAAGCATACAGGGGGCAGCAGCTAGACAGGCCTCAGCACTCGAGACATGTATAGTGTCGTGACCAGGGCATCCATTCCTCTGCAGTCTCACCTACACACAAACCAACTTCACCCTCGCCAAAGGGAGAGTAAGTGGCTCGTAATGGGAACCAGAAAAAAGACTTCTCCAGAAAATTTAATAATGCACAATTTGTACTTCCAGGTGTGTTTCTTCTTACTAACCCTTCCTAGGACCTGTTAGGTAACAGGCACACCACCATATTTTACTTTCTGCCCCCAAGAAAATAATTCCTGTCAGGTCAGGGTGCAGGTATGAACCCAGAGGTCACTGAAGTGCAAGGTAAACCTTTAAAATGCATACTATCTCCTAACACAATCATGGTAACTTTGACACACCATTATTTCAAGATGACTGTCCTGGCTTTCTTTAGGCCTACTTTTGGCAAATGTACACACTAGCCAGTTTAGCCGAATCAACTGCATGGCTAACTGATCTACATGATTTGGCCTTTAAGAGTCTGATTGAGAAAGCACTCCTCAGCAGGGGTAGGAAAACTGCACATTATACTGGCAAGAACACAAAAGAAAATATTTTCTGGAAATACAAGATGGGAAAGAACAGATTTTATTTCCTCATAACTGGGGGCTAAGAATTCTGTCAAGATTTTAATTAATAAGCAAGCCCAATTTCACCCCAAGTAAGTTTTATACATCAAGAGCGCATACACCTTCCCCATGCCTTTCAGTCCCAGCACAGTGGTGCCCAGCTGACTCAGAGAATGTCACAGGCTTTTCCCCACGTACTCTGTGCTAAAGCAGAATGAGTGTGACTATTTCTCCATTAATTTAGTAACACAAAAGCACCCACACTAATGGCAACTCACATGATAGAACAACTGTAGAGAGAAAGCTCTGTGGGAAAAAGAAATTACTCTCTCCCCGGGGAGAGGAGGGTATAAGTAAGACACTTACCTGCTATGTCTCAAAAAATGTTCCAACTTTACTACTGTCCAAAGTATTAAAGCCATGTAAAAGAAACCAGTTTCAAATGATATTGACAACTTTGTGGCAGGTATTCCATCAGAAAAGTAACCTTTTGGGTTTCTTGATAAAATGAAAAGTTCCCTTCACATTAGAGCAGAAAAGACTGTGTGGGCCATAACGGCCGGCCTGTCCCTTCTCAGAGTTCTTCACTACAACTCAAATGAAACAAAGCCAACTAAAGCCTGCTGAGAAGTACCGAGAGAACCAAGCTGTCAGCTCTTAGCTATCCCTTCCCCAGACCACTGTTTGCAAATACAGGACTGCTACTGGGTGAAGATCTTGTCCCCACTGCCCCTTTTCTAGCTCTTCTGCCCACAGAGTCCACAGTAGTGTCCTGGGGGCAGTCTCTCAAGGGTCAGCATTGCTGTCAGATGGCGCCTAGTGGCACAAAGCCAATGCTCACTTCACAGTCAAGCAAAATTGAGAAGAAAAATATTTTTCCCTTGCATGTGTATTTTTGTTTACCACTGAAAAACAACTAGAATAAGCTTCTGATTTTTGTGACGAACTAAAGAGTACTGCTGGTGTAGTGAAATAGAAAATACAGCTAAAGAGAGCCTTCAATCACCAGTGCAAACTCCCTGCTGCACTCAAATATCAAACATGATGTTTCCAAGACGCAGGGCAGAGCTGACCTTTTACAAGCACTAAATGCACCCGTTAAAATGAGATGGACCAATAACTACTCACCACATGTGGCTTTAGTAACTACTAGTCTCTAGAAGGACCCAAGGAGTAGCTACCACTATTGCAGTCTCTACAGGAATCACAGCCCTGGACCAAGGTTCCACCCACACTAGCGGCTGAGATCAGGTGAGGTGATAGCAGAAAGGAAACCAAGAATTGACCCCCATGAGAACTGGGACAGTAGGGTGAATTCTGGCCAGCCTCGAGTGCTTCCATTTTCTCAATCTGGCCCTGCTACAAACACAAAGCTACAACAGGGGCCATGGTGGGCTGGTTTGGGATAGCAACATCTCCAGAAAGCATTGTGAGTTTGATGACATGGTCACATGGAAGCAAAGTGCACAAAGCTCAAGGCACAGAGTTGAGACTGTGAAATGATGGGGAAAGTTACAGTGAACACAATTGTTAACATTTTCCTTTACAAGGCTAATGCTAAACAGAGACCATTCTGAATTTTAAAAAGGTTTGAAGCATGGATGAAAACACTGTATTGAAACATTTGCTTGGCTTTAAAGCAAAGATACCTTGACATGAGACACCATGCGCCAAGTCCACAAATGAACAAGACAAGAGCTTAAAAAAAAAAAGAAAAAAGAGATTCTTTCCTTCTTGCATCTTTGGAGGAAGATGATTTGAACGTTGGGCTTCACTTAGCAATGGCCACTCTCCAAGACACTTGCTCTGTAGATAATTCATTAAAAGATTGTCCCATTTCAAAATCACCCCCAAGTCTAGCAGCAATTGTTTTTGTTAGTTCTTGTTTTAAAAACTGAAAATCAAAGAAAGAAGTGCAGCATCCTCTCTCTCTGAGAACAGCCTGACAGAGCCCCTGAGTGGTGCAGGCCCCGTGGTGCCTGGAACAGTTTCTGCAGCTCCAGGGCCTCCTCTCCAGGAGAAAAGGCGCTCAAACAGTTACTATCTATACCCCCTGGAACTTGCACAAGCAGATGGACTGTCTGAAAAAAAAAAAAAAAAGAAAAGAAAAAAAAGTCAGAAGAAAAACCAGGAGAGACAGAGAGTACTCTGCTCATGCAAGGCTATTTCTCTCCAATACCTATCCCCTGGTATGTTTATTTTACAGTTCTGAGAGAAGTGAAAACAAGCCCATACCACCAGGAACTTATCTTAGGGCACTATTCTACCCCTGAATATAATAAAGAATACCTTGGTGGTCAGTCAGCACTGGCCTGAGCCCAAGGCCAGATGACCCCAATTACACATGCCATGCTATGCCATCTACACTACCACCCCCACGGTCTCCAGTCTCATCCCTGGAAGTTGACCCATCAAAACCCATCACAAAGCCATCAAAACAGTAAAACCATTGTCACTCACTATAAGCCAACTCGTCCCCAGCTCTCTTTCGGGACTGGTCGCCTCTAGGAATAAAGAAAGAAGAAGCTGTCAACAAAACTAATTGATTTCTTTACATATAAAACCAGCAGACATAAACCAACGAATGTGATAGTCTACAAACAGCAAGTGCTTCAGGTTCTAACCCAATATCCTGTTAAAACAGACACTGGACAGCAGCTGGGTCATTTGTTCCGAGGACTCTTAGCTCAAGGGTGTATGTAGTCTGTTACATATACAAAGTTTTTAAGTGAAGGATCATCTATAAAGATGGTTTACACTGAGTACTAGAAACAGGTGCAAACTAAAACATGTTTTTGAAGACAACCCTGGATTCTACTTACAGCACCTCCAGTAACCTGCATGTACTAGCAAACCTTTAAATATCAAACAGAAGCAAGTTAAAAACCTTCCCCTCAAGCCCCAAACTGAGACTTTGAGACTCTCAAAGCCTTTGGTGCCTGAAGAACCTTGTGGGTGGAGAACACAAATCTTCAGATACAGGACCCAGCCTTGCCTCACAGGCCTAGAGGAAGTTCAATGCAGTTAAGAGTGGCTGTGATAGGAATCTCTTATGAATCACACCTCTGGCTTTCTAGCTTCTCAGATGCTAACCCTGACTCTAACAGGTAAGCAATGAGTAATAGGAGTAATAATGGCACCCTGTAACCAGTTGCTTGTCTCTCAGCCAAGGATGTAGCTCATCCCATCCTTCCAGAAACACTTTTCCTTAGCTCCTTCTGGCTTTCCACTCACCGGCTGGTACCCTTTGCTGGCTTTGCTTAACACTGTTAACAGGCCACCTTTCCTTCTGCAAACACATCCTCCCTCAAGCTGTAGACCACACCAGCTCTGTGGCTTCCAGATCTATAGGCAGCTCTGACTTCTATCTGCCTGAGATCTGAAGGTCCAGCACCCTCATTATTAAATGAAAATTAACTACGTCTACAACAGTGTCCATTCAGCTCCATCCCCAACCCTTCTTCAGGCTTGTTATTATTCTTGATAAGAGCATGAGTGAGTAGATACAAAGGTATAAATAAGATAGTTCACACCTCTGATTAAAACTCTTTATAGCCTTCCATTATAGTTCAAAATCAATTCCAATTCATTTCTCAGCCCAGTATCATGGCTCTGGCCTGTCTCTCCCATCTCATTTTCGAGCCCTCACAATCTTCACTCACAGCGGGGCTGGTGATCTTTTTCTGTTTGACACTCTCTTCCCAAGGCAGTCACACAGCTGCCTCCTCACCTCAGCGCAATTATCTTCTTGGACGCCAATACCACGTCCCTGATAACCAAGTCTACTTCATTCTCTAATTTTCTTCAAACACTTACTTTTCTTACTTGAAAGTGTATGTGTTTTACAAGTTTATTATTTGTTTGCCAACAGTAGAGCATAAATACCACAAAAGTGAGGACTCTGTCTTGTCTACCCCCACATAGGAGATACTGAAAATCTATCTGCTAAATTAACAAACTGGTCAATAACTCATAATCTCAGATAATTACTAAAATACTGATCTGAACATCCCAACTGGTTACTAAGTCGATGCTCATTTTAAATATTGCAGGATTTTGAAATTTTTTCTAGATATTCCAAGTTCACTCTTTGAAAACAGTGGACAGGAAGAATGATAGATGCCAAAGACAATACCTGACTTGTGAAGTCTGCCAGCTCTACACTGTCTTCTGTTATGAAATGAAAAAGGCCAAATTCTGGGACCACCTTCTCAGCTTAAAAATTAAAAAAAAAAAAAAAAAAAGCCAGTGGCATCTTTACAAGGTTCTACTGTATTCCAGAAACTAGAGTCACCTCTTCTCAGACAGAACACTTTATTTGCAATGTTTGGCAGGACTCTAGGCTGGCCTGAATGTTATGCTCCAGTTCAGGGCTTGTGTTTTCTATTTTCCAAAAAGCTTAATGTCCACAAAGTAATTTCTGGCAGCAGACACCAACCTGTTTGCCCACTCCAACCAATTTAATTACTCACGAGAGAAAGGTTATGTCCCTTTTAGCTTACATATTCCTATTCTAGCTTTGAAAAAGTCCTCCCTATACTTCCATGCATCTAAAGATCCACTGAAGAGGAAGATGTATCTGAAGATATTTGCATATTATGTAAAGACATTTCAAAAAATTTGAGGAAAAATTTAAAGCTTGAAACACCAATCAAGAACCACAAATTTGGTAAAACAAAACTCACAAGTAACTGCTAAAGCCCAAACAGTAAAAGTAGTAAAAGGGTTATTTGATAGCCCGTGTATTTTGAGTTTTTCTACCCTTTCTAATGTTTTCTATCAGTGAACATTATTTCTCTCTAAAATAATCCTAGCTAGACAATGAATAAAGAGAATATTAGTGTGACAGAGCATTACATGGAAGGTCCATGACACAAGCAGAGAGGGGCTATCTACAGAGGCTGCGCATGGCAGTCCTTTCTGATAGGTGGTTATGTAAGCCTAAAAATGGCCTTCCTAGGATATCAGCTATGTCAGGGCCTATTCTGTTCTAAAGTACCTGTAAGAATCATTTATAAGGCATAGTTTAATCCTCACAGTAAATGTGTTATCTATAAAAGTGGATTGATTAAGCTTGTGATATAGATATATTAATTTTAATTCTTCTTGGAATACTACCAATTTCTTTAAAACAGCTTTAAAAAAAAATCCCACCATGGGTAATAAAAATTCTAATTCACACTGAAAGTTCAAGGTAATTCCATGGTCTCCTAGGCCTTGGTACCATAATACTAGAGTGGTCCTTTCAAAGCAAAAACAAAACAAAACAAAAAAACAAAACAAAACAAAGAAAAGAAAACAACCCACAACAACAAACAACAGTTTGATAGTGCATCCAGAGCCAGCTACTCCTCTGATTCCAACTCAAGTCTGACAGAGAGCCACATACTCAGAAGCTCTACACCCTGTTCACTTGTTCTAATCCCTAAGACAGGAGTAGGAGACACCTCTGGATAAAGCTCAAGGATTTAGTGACAGGCATAAGCGCAAATTTTCAAAAGGCAACTTTTTAAAGGGGGGAAGTAATAAAAGTATACCTAAAATTAAAATTCATATTATCACGCATTTATTTGTTAAGTATCTAAGAGATGGTTCAGTGGTCAAGAGCACTTGGCTCTCCCTGAGGCCCTGGGTTCAGTTCCCAGCACCCACACAGTGGCTTACAACCCAACTTGTAACTCTAGTACTAAGGGAGTCCAATTTACCTACATAATTTAAAATAAATCTTTTGTTTGCTGTTTTATTGTTTTTGAAACACGGTTTCTGTGTTGGCTTGGCTGTCCTGGACTTGCTTTGTAGACTAAACTGGCCTCAAACTCACAGAGATCCACCTGTTTCTGCCTCCCCAGGTGCTGGGATTACAAGCATGCGCCACTGTGCTCAGCTGTACACCACCTTTTTAACAGTGAAATAAAACTAAAAGAATCTAAGGCAAAATTTAATTACAATTCAAACTACAGATGTCACAAATACCTTAATCTAATATATACAAAAAAATATAAAATCAATTTCTCATGACAGAAAACAAAGCCAAAGACCAATTGAAGAATGCATCTTTAACTAAGAGCCAATTTCTTCACTATAAAAAAGAGCTCTGAAAAATAATGGGAAAAAACTAATAGAATAACGACAAACAAGCACTTTGCAAAAAACAAATGCAAATATATGCTCAGCTTTATTCATGTGAGAAATGCAGCTACACTTACTCTGAGAAGATTTTACACTTTTTGAAAACACACAGAATACATGTGGCCATGAAGAATATATGCAAAATGGCAGTATTAATTACATTTCCAATTTTATCTACCCTTGACCCAGCCAGGTAACTTCTGAGACACACATGCAACAAAAGCACAAAGTAAGACATGTTTCTGGTATTCTGTTGCAGTTCTATCTGTATCATCAAACAACTACTGGGGCCTAGTTAAGTAACTAGTTAAGTTAGTACAATGTCTAATAGTGTAATAGAGACACACTGTGGAATTCTGGGGCAGGGAAAAATAAAAGTAAGGGAAAACTTCAACTATAATTTAAGAACACTAGAAAAGAATCACACACACACACACACACAAAATAATGATGGTTACTTAATGGGTTGGGGTAAGCAGTAAGAAAAGCAGAAGTTTATTCTTATATTCTTTAAAGATGATCTGGGAAGGAGAAACTCCTAGGCCTCAATCTCTAGCTGAGGAGCTGTGAGCGGGTGATGGATGCTAGGGGAGATGAAGTCACTTATCTTTGGAGGTGGCTTCTGGCAGGTTGTCCATACCCCAGAAGGTAACCCTACACCCACATACACACAGGTAACACTAACTGGACTCTGGGTTATTAAAAAACAAACAAAAGAAGAAAAACAAGGAAGACATGAAGTTGGGAGGGAACAGTGAGGAATATGGCAGATAATGGGGAGATGGATGTGATCAAGATGCATTACAGGCATCAATGAAACTGTCAAAGAATATGGCATTAAAGGTGTCACTCTATGCACAAAATACTCTAATATCGGGAGATACATACTTCCTAAATCTCAAAGATTGAGGAAAGCCATCTAATCACACTCTAAGCACCACTCCTCTGCACTGATACTTCTGAGACAAGCTCCTGGGGAGGAAGGTAAATTGCCAGGAGATTCCTCAGTGCCTCTTTACCACTACCTTATGACGACAGATGGCACTACATCTGACAAAGAACAACAAACAGCAGCACCCACCAAACTCCCTTTCTTTTTTAACATGAAGCAGAATAAGCAACCCTGGGAAAGGCTGTTTTGTTGTTGTTGTTTTGCTTTGGTTGTCTGGGTTTGGTTTTTTTTTGGTGGGGGGGGGTTGTTTGTTTTTCTGAAATTCAGAAATTTTTAGAGGAATGTGTTAAAAGGACCCTGCTGTTTGAGGTTGTAGATCTCCCAGTCCAGATAGCCATTCTGAGCTTGGTGGTATATGGAGGAATCCCTCTCCACAGCAGCGCCTTCTACTCTCTGCCTGACCTTATCTGGAGAGTGTCGTTA